CATACATGCAGGGGTCATGGGTAGGTCCCAAAATCCCTTTAATAGGGGAGCATATAGTCTGGGATCTAGACATCACATTATACCTTATCCCTCAAATAAGACAGTTGAGTACCGATGTGGTTATTTATTACAAATACTACAGTACTTGGAAGTATTACTCTAGACTTAGGGTAATTGGTATGGTTGTAGTTCGGTGCTACACCATAGTACTATTCCATTTTCCCATTACATTCACTTCGTGAACATTCACACGACGCACAATAATGTAGAAACTATCTTTTAATTAATGGTAGTCAGACTTGGGAAAATACACACTCCTACAAGAGACCCACACAAACACTAGGTCTTGATAGAAGGCTACATGAGAACAGTTAAGTCTTGGTAGAAGACTCCTTTTGTTACTAGTAGGAATCATAGGGATTTCTAGGGTTTTTCAAACGTTTACAGTTGTTTTACAAACATGTTCATACTTACAATTCATATACATTTTCATACTTACAGTTCATTTACATTTTCAATACTTACAATTCGTATACATACAAATACTTACATTTCAAATACATACAAGTATTTACATACAAATTAAGACACTAAAATACTTATGATCTCACCAGCTTTAAAGCTGATACTCGCTTTCAAAATTACTTGTATCCTCAGGTCATCATAGATAGGTACCGATGCAAGGAGAAAGGAAGATGGAGCTTGTTCAAGACTCATCTTTCATTTTGATTTATGCTTTAGTGTTTATCAAAATTTGACGGAACGCTTTTATAATAATTATATTATTATTGCAATGGATGATATTGTTGCTTGTTTACTACTTTTCATTGTTGTGATACTGTACATGACGTCCTCCGCCCCAGAACGTTTCCGCCGTTCTTAGTTTTGGGGTGTGACACTGTATATGCAAAGTATGTTAGGTTTTCTATGCATCAAATACACTCTAAAGCAGGTAGCTGAAAAATCGAAACTATGATATACCGTAGACAATAGAAATCATAACTTTAACATGATAGGTGATGATCAATCAAACACAATTAATAGCCAAAGTTATAAAATCCAAAATCATTGAAACCAACACATAAAATTGAGTTTCATCTACTCCAAACGAAAGCAATAGGTTTTAACACCCAAATTCAGAAAGTAAAAACACAAATAAAAACAATTAGAATTCTAATATTGATCAGAATAAGAAACTGAATGATTCCAGTTATGAATTAGCTCTTGAATCCTTCATATTTTCGCTCCATATCAAATTAATAGCCCTCCGGCTGCCTTCGAGACCCTCAAAACGGATTGGAAGATTTGTCGATGAAGAAAGACATTGATCCGAGCGATGATGAAGAAACGAAGGAAAGATATGGACTTCGACGATAGGATGGTCAGATCCTTGAGGAAGTCATAGAGTTTTCATTTGTGTGTGTGTGTGTGTGTGAGAGAGAGAGAGAGAGAGAGAGAGAGAGAGAGAATGTGTGTGTGTGTGTGGTATTCTTTTTAATTAAAATAATAATAAATTAAACAAAAAAATAAAAAAAATTACTATAGGGCATATTCATCATTTTAGGTTGGGTTTGAACTAAAACCACACAAAAATATCAATCATATGGACCAAAACCACATAAGATATCCAAATCTTGACCACTGATGCATCATCAAACTTTTTTGGATCAAAACCATATAATTTTGACAACCACATAGACAATTTTTACAATTATGTATAAGATAATGAGCCTAGCCATTATACCAATTCCAACCTTGATATTATATCTTCCACATTTTTTTTTTAAATCTACAATAAAACTCTTTTCAAATCCAATTACACTAAAACTTTACAATAAAAACATATTTTAATATTTTAATAATAAAATAAATTTTTTACTATCATAAAAATTTATTTTATTTTATTTATTATTATTATATTATTAAAATACAAATAAAAGTGGTGACTTATTATTCAATAAAACAAATTTCATATGAAATGTAAAAGTGTGTTTGGTACAAAGAAATAAAATTGAAACAGAGAATGAAAATACATAAAAACAAGAATTAAAGTATAGAAAACAAATAATTGATTATGCTCTTTAGTACAATAGAGAATTTCATTTGAGAATGAATTCCTTTGTTTGGCGTAACAATGTAATAAAAATGATTTTTTTTACTATATTTGTTCTTTTCAAACAACAATATTTTATAATAATCCAATTACGATTTAGATTTATATTTTAATTATGAATGTTTCTATTGCTAACTTTTTATTTTCTCAATTATTTATCACATTATAAAACAAACACAAATCATGCAACTGAGTCTCAATCCGATAAACATATCTCAATCAGATAAATAGTTCCGTCATTTGGTCTTAAAACAAAACATCATTACATGTTTCGTATAAACAATTGAGAAAAATATGAGACATTGTTGCTTAAATCCACAAATAACTGTTACAAATATTGGCTTGTAGAACAAAAAATAATCTTAAAAACTTTAGTTTGTATCAAGTTTAGAAAGATACAAAATAGTACAAGAGTTGATATCAATTGTAAGGTTAGAGAGAGTGGTAATATTCCTAAAAGCTTACCACATCACTTTTTTTTTAAATGTCATGTCATTTTTTTTTTTTATCTTAACACTCAATTCTTAACATTTCATAAGAAGTGGTAACACTCCTAGTAATTTTTTTTTTCAAATTTAATTAAATTATAATTTTTTAAAACATAAACAATTAAAAATAAAAACTTTTCTAATAATTCAAATTTTAACCAAATTGTTTCAGCTAAAAAAATAAAGACATGTTTATGAAGGGGATGACTAATATACCCCTGTCTAAATATAATTGTTAGCTTGTTTTTTATAACTTTTATGTTCCCATCTCCAACTTGTATAATTTACCCCCAAAAGAAAACAAAGCCCTAAACTATTTCTTGTTTGGGGAAAAAAACTGAAGCATTCGATCCCAACGCAAAAGAAAACCCAAATAGTCGTTCCTTGTTGTTAATACTCTCTCGCCATCTCCATTCGTTCCTCGTCGTCTCACCGTTTCCCTACTGACTTACTGCTCATCTTTCGTGGCCTCCTCTTTGTTGATTTTTCCCCTTTCATCACCGCTTCAGGTAAATGTGAATGATAGATTACAAGTTGGATTTTTCCTTGGTCTCAGATGATTTTCTCTGCAAATAACGATTTTTTTTGTTTACTCTCCATCTGATCAATTGAAGCTCTAAGCATATGATTTCTAATTTTGCATCCTTATTTTTGTGATTGATTGTTGAATCTTTTAATTTTGCATATTAATTGGTAAAGTAGCTAGTCACATTCATGCATCCTTCCCTCTCTCCTCTCGTCAAGCCCGTAGTGCTAAAATTATCGGCTTTAATCAATCACTACAAGAATCTCAAATTCCTGATTTATAGTACCAATACATGGTAATGCTTTTTTAGCAATCTTAATCTACAAACTGGATTTCCAGCCTCTAACCATGAAATACACCCCAATAGGATTTTCATGCTTCACGTTGTTGAAATGATTTCTCCATGATTGGTCATTGAACTCGCAGACATAAACATGATCCAAACATGTAGTCCCTTGACCTCCTAATTTAAGGCCTGGGCATTGCTAAGGTTTAACCCAAGGTTGTCAAGATCGGGATCCTACCTAGGATCGTTTTTGGGTTTGCAAGATCGGGATCGAGATCCTAAGATCCCACAAAATATGATTTAATGTTAATTTATAATATTTAATCATGAAAAATATTTCAAGCATTTAATTTTTTGTTCAAAAATTATAAAAACTTCAAAATATTAATCATAAGTCACAATAAAAAATGATAAATGATAGATTGGTAAAGGGTAAAAGATATAAAGTGGTAAAAAAATTTCATTTGCAAAAAAAAAAAAAAAAAAAAAAATCAAAGGAAGGTAGGATCGGATCGGATCTCGATCCTACGATCCTACCCCAAATACGATCATTTTACGATTCGGATCGTTTTTCATACCTAGGATCGTAGGATCATACGATCCTCCGATCAGGATTACGATTTTGACAACCATGGTTTAACCTCAAAGAAACCATTTGTGTGATAGTCATGTGCTCCAAATAAATATTCTACACCATAAAATGTCAATTACATGCATTGTGCATAAAAAATTTATAAAATAGAACGATATTTGATTAAATAAATTCATGAAGAAACATTACCTTCTTCACCAAAATGAAAGATACCGTTTGTGTTTCTTCTATTGAAAAGATAGCAAGCAAGAAGCAAATCTCACTGCACCATCTCTCTTTTTTTTTTTTTTTTTTTTTTTTTTTTTTTTTTTTTGGAGGTATAACTTTTGTCTCGGAATCTGAATAAAGTAAACTTTAGGACATAAATGTGAAAACTAATGTACAAGGGGATAAAAATGAAAAAGTTTGAAACAGAGCTTACAGTAAAGTTCTTCCTCACCCGTCACTCCAACAGACCCATCAAAAGGAATCGCTACCGCAGCACTGTCCACCGGCGATCCTGCTCTCCGGTCGCATACTTCATCCAGAGCTTCACAAGGAAACGCCACCGAAGAACCGTCCTCCGGCGATCCATCTCTCCGGTGGCTCACTTCATCCAGAGCATCACGAGTAATACTCTTGTAATTTTTAATTTTTTTTCTCGATTATCTAAGAAATTTGTGGTTTAGAAATTGGTAAATCAGTTTGTAATTGCGTCAGCATATAAATTTTAGGTCTAATTTACTAAAATTAAATCTATGGGAATTTTTGTTATGAAACCTTAAAGTTTTAAAGAACAATACCGATGTTCTTGAAAAGAAGTCGGATTTTGAACAATCAAGCCATAACCTAGACAAAGAACCAGATATGTAGAAAGAATACATTTTTATGACCCTGAGAATCTCTGCATCTAGGTTTTCTGAAAGGTTGTCGAACTCTATAATTTCAAATTGACACCATTAATCAGATGAATTTTCACTTCCTTGGTTCATTCTAGGGCAATCTAGGAGATAGAAATGGCTGGTGATGAGCAGCAGCAACATCCACATGATAATCAAATGCATTCTCCTTCACATCCATCTCCAGCAAAGGATGATATGATAGGATATGTGATGGCATTGGAGGCTGCTTTACTCCCATGTCTTCCTGCAAGAGAGCTTCAAGCAATTGATCGATCTCCCCACCCTTCACATCAGAGTAAGCTTTTTCTCTTTCTTTTTATCATCATCATGGAACATTTTCATTAGCTTCTTTTTGGAATCAATATGAATGAAGAAGTTTTCTTTTTGTGTTAGTTGATGTGGAGAGACATGCTAGAGATTTCATGGAGGCTGCCAAAAAACTCCAACTTTACTTTATCAGTCTGCAGCGTGAAGATCAGCCAACCAAAGAAGAAATCTTGCAAAAGGTAGTTTTACTACTCCATTTGATTTTGTTTTTAATGTTTTAAAAAAAATTAAGGAAGACATGAGCAATATCTAATAAAATTGCATTACAGGATATTGCAATGATGGAAGAAGAACTGAAAACAAAGACCCAACTTATCAAGAAACAAGAAAGATGGATCCAGGGTTGGAGAAAGGAGTTAAAAGACCAATTGGAGAAGCACAATACTGAATTAGAAAGGGTTTAGATGTGTATTTACTTCTTTAAATTCCTTCTTTTGATTATCTAAATAGCTACTAGTAGTAACTTTTTTTTTTTTTTTTTTTTTTTTTGTTTATTTTGGCTTTGTAAACGCTTCTTGAATCACACAGGACTTTCAAACCTTTCTTGAAGATATGCGAGCTTTCAAACTATAACAATTGATTGAAACAACGATTATATAAAACACAAACAATTATATCAATGAACAAAGTTTCAAAATACTTTGCTATTATATATATATATATATATATATATATATATATATATATATTTTATCAAATTACTTTTTTGTTGGAGAACGCACAAGATAATGGGATTTTCGACATTGTTGAATCTTTTTTGAATAAAAAATAAATCTTCCAAATAATAAAAGTAGCATATAAAGTAGTAAAATTGACTACAAAATCTAGAATACACTTTTGAGTTCAAAGTTGAAACACAAGCAAATGTGGCTACTACTCTATTTCTTAGCATAGGTGATGAACATAGGGCTATCAGGATTAATCTTAAATCCTTGAAGACTTTGCATGGCAACAGTCGCTTGCATCTCATCTCCATACTCTATAAAAGCAATCCCTGGTTTTGCTTCCACCATTCTTACTTCTTTGAATCCTTGATGTTGCCCAAACAACATTTGCAGCATCATGGATGATGTTTGATGAGGCAGTTTTTGGACAAACAAGATGCTGTTTGGTGGGGCCGGTGCCTCTGGCATCCCGGATTTTGCCCCACCACCCATGTATGGTATTTGTGATAACTGCATCAAAACAAAACAAACCAAACCAAACATATTCATTCATTCATATATAACATTAATAAATAAATCCATCAAGTTAATGAAATGAATGAAACATATGCTTACAGGAGGAGGACCACCATAACCTTGATTTACACCAATTGCAGCTTGATTACCATCGTGTTGCCCTTTGCGTTTCTTCCCTCCTATTGCATGAAAAAAAAAAAAAGTAAAAAAAAAAATATGGAATTGACAGATGTAAAAAAAAAAAAATCATGTTTTTACCTTTTTCTTCATGCCTCTTTCGTCTTTCACGAGGTACGAAAGTCCCATCTGATTTTGCAATCACGTCTGATTTTGTTTTAGCATATTGTATTCTCTGTGTGATCATTTAGACAATTAAAAAAAATAAAATCTTTAGTTTTCGTATTATGGTTATGATCACCGCTTCTCTCATTGGTTTAACATCCATATAACAGACACAGAAAGTAAGAACTGGATTGTAGAACTTCTGTAAGTATACTGTCTCCCTAAGAGCATTTGGTATAGATAAAATGGATTCGGACTCTACCTCCTAAATACACTCATTTTTGCTGAATTTTACAATGAATATGCTTGAGAGTTTGAAGATACAACAGGATGAGAAGAATACAGGTGACTAACAAATGAAAAGAAGTGTTTTCTAAACTTAGAAATTTAGCTTGGTTTGTAGATACAGGTTAAGCATGAGGTACTGTGTTGTGATAAATAATGAAGAAGAGATAAAAGCAATTGAATTCAACACACCATGGGTTTGTCGTAGAATGGAAAACCCTGCATCTGTTTGAGAGCACTGGTGGCAGATGAAACATCCTCAAAAACAACCCACGCTTGACCCTTGTGTTTTAGGGTTTTAAACGCGAGTATCTCCAGGATTTTGCCGAATTGTGAGAACACCGCTTGCAGCGATTTCTTTAACTCTGGAAAAACAATTGCTCGTATTTAGGTCATGAACAACTAAAATGTATGAAAACGCACCAATTTTCATGCATTAAGTTAGAAAAAAAAAGGTTTTATAAGGAGATTAGGAGAACAAATAGGGCAAACGGAATATTAGTGAATGGACAAAAAGAATAGCGAATACCATCAAGCTTTGTTTTCTCGTTCAAATTGTTGATGTATATGGTGTTATTCGCTGGAATGTCGCCGCCGACCGCCATCTCCGCCATCTTTCTCTTTCGATCGTAGAGGAATTAGGACAGTGATGTGAAGAAGAGGTTTCTTCCACTTCGAAGTTTCAAGTTTCTTAGTTCCAGACAATTCAAGAAATAAATAAGGCCCAAACTCGAACGGTAAATTAGTAACAGACTAGGTCCATTGGGCCCAGTACGCAATGATCCACGTCTAAAGACACAAAGACACTCATATTAACCGAGAGATGCAAAATAAATAAATAAATAAAAAGATTTATAAGGGTAATTATGTTTCAAAATCATTCAAAATAATTATAATAATTTAAAAAATACCATCAAAGTAAAACTTTTGTACAAAAAACACCAATGAACTACATAATTTATTCAAATTTCACCTAATGGTAATTGACAATTACCGGTAAAAAATAATTAAAAGGAAAAAAAACCAAGAGGGAATTAGTCAAAAAGATAACTATTTTTCAAAATCGTTCAAAAAACATCATTCATATTTTGTATGTTCAAAAAACATCAACAAAGCTATATATTTTGTTCAAATATTACTCATTGGTAGTCATCTCTTATAGGTTAAAGGATGACTTAACCTAACTATTATGACATGTCATAATAATTAGTGATAGGATATTAATTGATATATTCATCATTTATAAATTGATTTAGGATTTCTTTATGAACGAATGACTTCTCCTCTGATTGCTCATTTTCTTCTAAATTGATGATCTCCAACTCAATCTCACACATTTTAAAGACATATTATAAGGCCACACCTTATGATTTGATGAGTCAAACACTCTATACGTTGACTGCCAGCGCCAACACAAGCATTAACACTAACATCAACGTCTCAAGCCTTATCAGCGGCAGCGTGTACTTAGTAATCTAATGTAACATTTGTATATTAGGTAATTATACATATATGTATAGAATAGATAATAGATCTGAAATCTTGGTGATAAAGATCAGTTCTTAGTATAAATTAGATACAACCCATTGAAGGGATATACTAATATAGTTTAGTATATATTCAACATTAGGGTGAAACTCTAATGTAATCGTCATGGTGACCATATTTGTGACAACCCGTTTTCTTGGTGAAAACTATTGGATTTGGTGTCTAAGCTCATAACTATAACTGGGATGTACTTGATCCGATAGTAGCATGGTCCTTTTGAGTTGCCTTCACCAGTGCAATTTGATAGGATTGACTTTTGAGCATAAGGTTATTTATGATTTATTAATAAATTACAAGTATAATATATTAATATGAAATCATATTATTTAATTAGTATTGATCAAGAATTAATTTGGAATTAATTTTATGGTCAAAAGAGACTAATTAAATATATGGGGATTGATTATGTAAATAAATGATTCTTATAATGTGGGCTAATGATCCATGATTATGTAGATAAGCTAAACCTAAGATAATCCATGGATAGTCCATGGAGGTTAAAGCCCATGGAGCATAAGAATGTGAAAAGTCATGGAGCATTAGGGTTTACAAAGTGTAACCCTAGCATTTGCCACATTATAAATAGACCACCCCATGAGCTAAAATCCGCTACACCCTCTTTCGAGTTAAGTAACTTATCCTCTTAAAGCCTCCTCTTGCATATTGGTGTTTGTGAACCATTTCTTGCATATTGGCGTTTGTGAACCATTAGAGGCATCACACTTGAGATGCTCAAGCTTTCAAAGCTCAAAAACTCTACCCTATTCAAGAGGTAAGCATCCAAACTAAGTTTTATATTATATAGCTTCAATTGTATGCTAGCTAGGGTGAATGCTTTGGAAAAACAAAATGCATGTATAATTAGAGAAAACATAGATCCAAAGCATTTAGGGTTGCATGTGCACCATAGGAGTGTTATAGTGCTCAAAACCCAACAATGGTATCAAAGCCTAGGATTGTTTTCTATTATATTTGATGCTTACTAGTTTTTCAAAGCTGAAAAAGTCGAAATTTTGGCCTCTGACTGGTGAACTCGCCGAGTCCATGAACAGACTCGATGAGTCCACTCAGTAACATAGCAACTCGCCGAGTCCAGTTCATACACTCGACGAGTTGAAGGCTCTGTTTGAAAATTTTCGAGTTTCTTGGCCTGGTTTGGATTGGGAACACCACCACAAATTGTTTTGGATCATTAGAAATGTTTTTTTTAATGATATGGTAGTGCTTGTACTCATCCAACCACAATATAATTGTCAAAGTTTTAAAATAATTGTTGTTTTGTGTGATAAATGAAATTGTTAACTTGAAATTATCTTGATTATGAGTTTAGTTAGATCATAGATTATGTGATAATTTTAGTTGTTAGAAAAATGATCTAGATGAATTTTAATGACCTCCATAACTTGTCCTCAAGTTATGGAAAATGAAAGGTTTCATACATTAAAATCCAATTAAACTCATAAGATATGAATGTGAAGAATTTTGTCAAGTTTCAAAACTTGCCCTCAAGTTTTGGAATTTGTAAAGTCTCATCAATGAAACTTTAATTCCAAATCCTAGAATTTTAAAAGTTAAAATTCAACCCTGATACTTTATAATATCATAAGGTTAATAATATATATATATATATATATATATATATATATATATATATATATATATATATATATATATATATATATATATATATATATAAGACAAGTCAGTCTTACTGTTAGTAGGTCTCATTCACGAAGCCGATCTATAAGGGGGATATAAGGTTACGGCCTATAAAATGGTGGTTTAATGGGTGTCTACTCTCACCCACCGCTTCCTTGACTGGTAGAGGGTCGTTAGCCGAACGGGTAGGATAGGACACTAATTATCCCTTATTAAAAGTATAATGATAAATATAAAGTAACTAAACTTTTATTAAATTCCCAATCTTAGTTAATTTAGGAAAAATGTGAAAATGGTGCTAATCCATGAAATTACACTTTGCACCTTGTTAAGTCGTTAGTGGAGCGCGTGCGGTTAATCGACACACTAATCTGGGACTGACAATGTGTGAAAAAGGGTAGCTTGATGTTAATCATAGATCAATGGAGTGTGTGTGGTTAACCGACACACTGATAAGGTAATTTGTAACATTGGGTGTACTAAGTTAATTTGCATGTTATTCACACCTT